CGGCCCGGCGGGGACCTGCGCCTACCCCTGCATTCTGGGCTGCAAAGGCCGCTCCACCGCCGCCTTGAGGCCGACGTCCGCAGGACGCCCCCTGCCTGCACAGGTCCACGAGTCCAGCCCCCGTCCTGTCCCGGACCCCCGTTTTTTGTGCCCCTTGACCCTGCACACGCGGGACACACGCGCGGACACACTGCACATCCCACCCCACTGTGCGCCAAGTGGGACGGGACTGGTAACCAGAGTGCGGCACAGGCGAGTATTGTCCCCTGGATGGACACCCGGACAGCTCAGGGACACCACCGCCCGGCACCGGGCCCCACCCTCCTCCGGGGGTGTATTTTGATCCTACTCTGACCCTGCCCCTTCCTGGGATTCTGACTTTTGTTCTCCTTGGTGCTGGGCATTGGACCCAGGGCCTTTTGGGGAGCCACATCCTCTGCCCTTTTCATTTTTGAGACAGGTTCTCACTAAACTGCTTCAGTTGCCCAAGCTGGGCTTGAACTTTCGATCCTCCTGCCTCAGCCTCCCAGAGTGCTGGGATCACAGGTCTGTGGGCCACCAGGCTGAGCCTTCCATAGCTGGCGTGGTGAAGCAGGGGCCTAGGTCGCCCATTCTGCGGCCCTGTCCTTTCACCTCTGTGCACCCCCATTTACAGGGAGGGGTGGCTAGGGGGTGCCTGGTCTGACCCTCCTGGGGTGTGCAGTTTTCCCTCTGATGCCATCTGCCAGCCTTTGCTGCCCTCTGTGTTGGGAGTGGCCTGAGGTCTGGGGTGGAGACAGCGGGGAGCACCAAGCTGGGCGTCTTTAGTGCCCCTGGGTGCACGCTCCATTCCGGGCAGCAGGGCTCCTGAGGACCTGGCCTTTCCCTTGTAGAAGTGTGGCTGGGAACGCTCGCTCCTGGGCTGAGGCTTTGAAGACTCCATTGGCTGTTGCCCTTGATCATCTTAAGTCTTCCTGTATGGACTTTGTCCTCTGGTCCCCAGCCCGTTTCCTGGGGTCAGAGTGACTGGAAGTTGCGGGGTCTTTGGTCTTCTGGGGATCAAGTACCTCCCAACCGAGAGGGGAGGTAGAAGGAGGGCGGCTGGCTCCCCGGACTGGGTGGGAGCGCGGGCTGTTTTCCTCTCCAGAGGTGAAGTGGTGCCCTGGGGGCTGCGGCCGGAGAGCCCTGCCTGGTGCCCAGCTCTGTGCTGGCCGCTGGCTGTGAGGGGCACCCTGATGGAGCCGGCCCTGTGTGCCATGGGCCCGGGCAGCCTGCTGTGCTCCTGCAGCCGCTGCCTGGTACCAGCTGCCCCCCAGGAAGGGCCGCTGCAGTGCCCCGCCTGCTCACCTCTTCCCTCTGTGCACACTTTGTTTTATTTTTATTTTTGCAGGATTACTGGGGACTGAACCCAGGGCCTTCACACTGAGCTGCGCCCCAAGCCCTATGTTTTATTTTGAGACCAGGTCTTGTGCAGTGTGAGGTTGCCTAGGCTGGGCTTGAGCTGTGGATCCTACTGCTTTTTTTTTTTCGACACAGGGTCTTGTTATGTAACCCAGGCTGGCCTAGAGCTTGCAATCCTCCTGCCTCAGCCTCCTGAGTGCTGTGTGACAGGCGTGCGCCACTACCTGTCTCCATCTCCCCAGAAGTCAGCCTGTGGGGTGGTCTGTTCTGCTTATGTGGTGGTACGGCTTGCGGTGCATCTGGGCTTCGCTCCGTGTGGCCGGGATGCTGCAATCCGGGCTCCCCCAGGCCCCCTTTCAGCTCCCACCCCTATAGGTCTCTGGCCCAAGGTCTCTTCTGGCTGTTGAGTCAGTAGCAGGGGAGCTGTCTTCCCATGCCAGCGTCAGGGGTCACGATCACAAAGAATGTTAGCCAGCTGTGGTGGAGCATGCCTGTAATCCCAGCACTCACGAGGCTGAGGCAGGAGGATTGCCCTCACTTTGAGACCCTGCGAGACCCTGCCTCAAAAAAAAAAAAAATTCTGATAGTGATTGCTTTTTTCTTGGGGCAAATCTGCAGAGTAGGAGAACCCGCGGTAGCATTACTCAGTGAGTTGTTCTCCTGGGTGTCCATCTCAGGTGTAGGAAATGTGGCCAATTTCCCCTTGGACACGTCTTGGAGTTGGCTGTGAGGAAAGATGTTCAAGAACGAATCCATTTCTGCTCTTTATTGTGTTCACTACGGCATTGCTGGTTTTGCAGCAGGGACCTGTGTGTCCAGTTAGACAGAGGCCAAGTGGTCCTGAAGAGACGACCACGCTCAGGGGCCCGACTCTGTGTGTGCGCACGTTAAGTGCGGGTGCCCGTCTTACATAAGAGCAACAATTTCTGAGCACTGGGGCAGAGCCCAGCACTACATCCAGCCCTGCTTCCTCACTTTCCGAGCTGGGGGCAGGTTTGTAATCTCAGCACTTAGGAGGCTGAGGCAAGAGGATCTGCTTTGAATTCTGCTTTGACCGCACAGCCAGACCCTGTCTCAAAAACAGACAAGGAAAGACAAAGTAAAGCTTCACGCTAGGAGCGACCTGTTGCTGCTCATTGCCCAGCGTCTGGAGGAAATTGGGGTTCCTGCTGGGCGGCCGTCCAGGGCTGTGTGGTTATGCTGGTTCCACCCTGACTCGTGGGCGGGGGCTCAGGGACCCTGCCATCCCCTGGCCTCCTAGGTCCCCAGCCACGCCCTGGCACCAACCCAGCCCAGCCTGCTGGGTACCGAGGTTGCTGACAGCAGGAGCCTGCGTGCTGGGGGCACATCCTCCCCGGAGTTGGTGCCTGCCAGGCCCTGTGGATGCAGGGACGCAGTGGGACCTGGCGTGGGCAGCGGCAGGGGCTTTAAGTTTTATTTATTTACTTCTTGGCCTCAGGGCTTGGGCCCAGGGCCTGTGCATCTGAGTGTGTGTTCTGCCCCAGTGAGGGTCAGGCCCCAGCCGTGTCACAGCCCCTGGTGCCTGACTGATTCATTTACATACAGTGGGCCCTCAAGTTACGACCGTCCTGACAGATGAATGACTTGGGTTACAACCAGAGTTTTAGTTTTATGAACAAAGTCTTGACTTACAACCTGAACACTGGCTGTTTGTGCTTCCAGATGGTCTCAGATACAGTCTTAACCCTTAAGGAGCTCTGGAAGGAACAGGACACATCCTCTCCTGTGTGGGGTTCACTGGGAAATCCTGGGCCGGGGTCTCTCTAAGGACACTGAGATCCGCCTGTGTGCAGGAGAGAGACTCTGAAGGCCGTGTGGAGGGGCCTGAGCCTTCCTTGACCAACTTGAGTTACAACCAGCCTTTGAGAACGGATTGAGTTTGCAAGTCAAAGGCCCACTGTACTCATGAAGCAGACATTCGGGGCTCCAAATAGTTATAAATTCATGTAAATTCAGTATGAAGGGTATGTGGGATTGCCTCATCCCTTTAAAACCTACCAAGTAAATTTTTTTTTTGTACCAGGGATCGAACTCAGGACCTTGCGTTTGTGAGGTAAGTGGCGGAACCACTGAGCTACATCCCCTGCCCCCAAGTAAATTTTTTACTGTGGTACTGGGGATGGGACCCGGGGTCTTCTCACTGAGCTACACCTCCAGCTATTTTTATTTTTTGCTTTGAGACAGGGTCTTGCTAAATGCCTAAGTTGCCCAGGCTGGGCTCAAACTTGGGATCCTCCTGTCTCAGCCTCCCACAGCGCTACAGGCTTTCACGAGCACGCCTGGCCTGACTGTTGTGAATTACGAAGGGTACCCTCACACTGGTTATCCCAAGTGTTGCCCACACTGGAATTACGTTTTCCTGGTGACCTTGGCCACCGTGTGCTTCCCGATGCCGGATCAAGTGTAATTCCCTTAGCAGACAAATTCTTTCAAGCACAGGAGTTGGACAAGTGATTTTAGGGCTCACCCCTCACCCTGCCTGTGATGTTTGTGTCAGCGTGGCCTTTGAGACTTGGTACCAAAGGTCCACTTGTCCGGCCTGCAGAGGCGGTGGATGTTACACTTTAACAGTTTGTCCTTGTGCCTGGGCAGCCCTGGCAGTGTGGCCCCTCCTTGGCTGGGCCAGGCGCTCTCCCCACCCCCCGGCATTCCCAGGCAGCGGGCGCCATGTCCTTCTTGGCTCTCAGCACTTTCTTTGGGGCGAATTAACCAGTGGCCCAGCGCCTTGTGATTCTTGGGACGTGCTCCAGGCCCAGTCTGGCTGTTAGTGGGTACCTGTTAGCGCTAGTCCACAGCACTTGTATTAGCTTTTCTTTTCTTTTGTCTTTTGAGATAGGGTCTGGCTATGTAGTTCAAATTCAAACTCAAACTCACGGGGATCCTCCTGCCTCAGCCTCCTGAGTGCCGGGGTTACAGGCGTCCGTCACCACACCCGGCTTGATGCACAGGTGTTTGAGTTTGATGAAGCCAGCTGGTCTGTCTGTTTTTTCTTTGGTGCCCTAGGCTTTTGAAATCAAGGCTGAGAAACCATTTCCTAACTCCGGAGAAAGCCTTTGGTTTTAGACATAGGGCTGGCAGTGGATTCCCATTTTGAACACATCACCCAGGTCATTGGCAACTGTGGAAGTTTCTAGACTAAAGTAGGGTACCAGTTAAGAAGTGTTACTGTACCAGCAGAAAAATGGGCAGATGTTGAACTTGAGACTTGTAAAATCAATGCTTCCAAGAGTGCCTATTAGTAAGAGTATGAAATGGCCTCTGCCTTCAGAGACTTTATAAGGTAAAGTATGCACTCAGTTTCTGTAAGGCTTTTATTGGGCTATTTTTATCACATTAATATTTATTTATTTTTTGATTTTTTGGGGGGGTACTGGGGATCAAACTCGGGACCTTGTGCTTGTGAGGCAGGTGGTGGAACCATTGAGATAAATCCCTGGCCCTGTTGATTTTTTTGACAGGGTCTTACTATGTAGCCCAGGCTGGCCTCAAGCTCAGAGATCCTCCTGCCTCAGCCTCCCAAGTGCTGGAGTGGCAGGCGTGAATCACTAGTTTTAGACTTTTTAGTGTCTTCCATTTTGCCAGGGCTCAGCAGCCCTCCTCTGGACAGAAGACAGCCTTGAAGGTTGGCAATTGCTGGAGGGGAGGGAACAGGTGTTCTGGGTGGAGCCCTGGCCCAGGTGGGGTGAGGACTGTGGATTTAAACCCAGAGCCACACAGGTGCAGCTCAGAGTTCCGGAAGCCTGAGGGACTGGTGTGTGGAGCCAGATGGAGCTGGCGGAGGTGCTGTGCTGGGGACTACGTGGGTCTCCCTGGGGATTTGGGGAGGGGATAGCGCCTGCATGGAGGGGCGACCCAGACAGAGCCAGCACGTGGAAGCAGCCTGCGGGAAGTCGCAGGCTTTGGAGCGGCATCTGCGGCCTGGGCTGGCTTTGCGGGTGGGGCGGGAGCTGTGAGGACCAGACAGGGCCCTGGGAGCAGGGCCTGGGTAGAGCTGTACATGCGCCGTCTGTCACCCCTTGGCCCACCCTCCCTTCGCCAAACCTGCTCTTTGGCTTTATTTGTTTTCTGAGACGGTCTCCGTGTGGAGCCCAGGCTGACCTTGAACTCAGAACTCGTGGCGATCCTCCTGCCTCGGCCTTCTGAGTGCTGGGCTCACAGGTGCGGGACAGCACACGTGTGCTTTTTAAAACTGTCCTTCCTAGGTGAGTGGGTTCTCCATGGTTGCCAGTTTGATCAGCTAAGTCTCTGGAGGTCTTTCTGTGCAGGCTGTGGCTCTGTCAGACTGTGACTTTGTTTTCCTAGATTTTAACTCAGCTGCTTCTTCCTCCTCCCCCTTCTTGCCGAGCGACGCTGGCGTAGTCTGGAGAATGGCGACTGTGTCCACGTTCCCAGCTCCGTAAGTGGTAGCTATGGATCCCAGCTCGCACATCAGTTTTTCCAAAGGCTGAGCAGTTTCCGACCTGCATTCGCTCCACTGAGTTTAAAAGAAATACAGTCTGCAGTGTGGACCAAGTGTGAGGTCTCCCTTTCATGCGGCTTTGGGGTTTCCCGTGCTTTTCCAGGGTTTGGGGCCTGAGTGTGGCTGCTGTCCCGTTTCTCGCTGTCGTGGATTGGAAGCGAGTCAGGACCTGCTGTCCAGCTGGCCACTGGGGCCCCTGACTCCCGGCTCTGCCTTTCCCCTGGCTCTCGACCCGGCAGGCCCTGCCCGGCTTTGCTCTCCTGTCCCCGTGTGATTAGGATTCTAGATTCCTCCAACCTCTTGTGCCCAGCTCGGGGCGCTGGGGCTGCTCCCCGGAAGTGCTCCCTGTTTGGGGGCTTCCCCGTTCTGGCCGCTTCCTGCAGCGGCTCTGCAGTCCTCTCTCCTGAGGGTCTTTAGCTGCGCTGTCCTGGCTGCCTCCATGTTCTAATGGATTCAGAACACTCCGCTTTCCCGGTCATTCTGACTGGGGAAGAGCTGGAAGTCACACAGTGTCAGGTCCCGTGAACAAGGTGGACGAGGACACAGCGTCGTGTGTTTCCAAGCTGGCTTTCCCCTGGACAGTGCCCGGCAGCAGCCCTCATGGTATCTGGACCACATCTTATAAATGCAGGCACAAAAGATGACTCCAGAGCTGCTGCAGACAGTGGGAGGAGCCAGGCGTGGTGGTGTAAATCTGTGATCTCAGCACTTGGAGAGGCTGAGGCAGGAGGGTCGCTGTGAGTTCCAGGCCAGCCTGGAATTATGTGAGACCCAGCCTCAAAAATCAGAGGGAAACACAGACACATAGGGACAGGGACAGACTGCTGGGTCTTGGCAGTCCTGCCAGGCATAAGGACTTGGGGCGAGTGTGGGTTAGCTGGAAAACAGAAAGTGATTCTCTAAATCCTGAGCTCCCGGTCGAATCCCGGAAAGAACCCCAAGTCCTAACTGGGTTTAACGGCTGCCCCTGCGTTTCTGTGGGTGTTAGGAAGATCGGCTGCTGAGGGCCGGGGCCTCTCCAATTCAAGAGCTGGTGGAGGCAGTGACCTTCCTGCCGGCTGGTGTGGACGGAAGCCGACAGCACTGCCAGCGCCCTTCTGACACCTGGTTGGCGGCAGCCGCCCTACTCAGTCACCTGTGTCCAGCGCTTGGGGAGAGAGACCGGTGGTCTGCTCTGTGGGGGGCGCCACTGCTCCCACTTTGGGATTCTTCCTGTGTAGCCCAGGCTGGCCTCGAACTCTCGGTGATCCTCCTGTCTCAGCCTCCTGGGTGCTGGGAGCACAGGTGCACACCAGCCCGCCGAGTTTACTGTGTGATTCCTGCGGTGTGGATGAGGAGGCTTTTGGGGAGTCCTCATTGCTTGAAAGCCACGGCTGTCAGGGCTGGGGCCACATTGAGGGGAAACCTTCTTCCTAACTCGGAGGCCGGGACAGCAGAGCGGCTCTCTCTGGGTGCAGAGCCCAGACCAACCGAGGCCTTGGCTCTGATGAGTGCACAAATTTAAGCCCAGACTGGGCAACTCGAAGAGAGAAGCTGGAAAGAGGGTGGGCCGTGGTTCAGCAGGATGGTCCCAGAAGCAGGCTGGGGTGTGGGCTGCTCCCCCTGACACCCCTGAGCCCTGGACACAGCCTTGGCCCAGCTCAGCTGCTTGTAGTGCTCTGAACGGACCCTGGGTCACTGCCACGTGGGCCTGAGAGCTGTGTTCCGAGACAGCACCCCTATGAGATGGAGCTGGAGGTGTGAATCCTCGCTGGTGAAGATACAGCTTGGTGTGGATTTTTATTTATTTTGAAGTTAATGAATCTATTAATTTGGTGTTTTGACACAGGGTCTTACTATAGAGGCCATGGTGGCCTCGAAGATCCTCCTGCCTCAGCCTCCCGAGTGCTGGGATGACAGGCGTGCACCACCACACCTGGCTCACCCTGAGTGTTCAGTGTGGCTGTAGAATTTCACACTCTCCAGACACCTGAGGGGTGTGTGTGTGTGTGTGCCTCGCTGTGCCCCTCCTCGTGGGATGTCACACCTATGGGTGTCCTCGTCCTCTAAGAGCTGTTTTCCTTTGAGCTGGTCTTGCCATAACCCCAGGGTGGCTCTGGGTGCCACCACTCACAGCTCACCAGGTGCCACTGTCCGGGCAGTATCTTTACTTCTGTGCCGCCTTCAGGTTGTGAGCTTGGCGCTGTGTGACGTGTGTGATTTAGCAGGCAGTCTTACTTTTTTTTTTTGGTACCAGGAATTCAACTCAGGACCAGGAATTCAACTCAGGACCTTATGCTTAGGAGGCAGGCGGCAGTGGCACTGTGCTAAATCCCAGGCCCTGGCCAGTCTTATTTTTTGAAAATTCACATACTATTCAATCTGGCTAGAAGTGGAATATGTGTTTCTCAAAGTTGAAGTTGAGTATATTGATTTGAATTTATATTTTCTCCCATTCTGCAAGAAAATAGAAAACCTATTGATTTTTAAAAATGTTGACTCTGAATTGTGCTCCTTTGCTGAATTTGTTTACCAGCTCTAAATCTTTTGGTGAAGTCTTTAGGGTGTTCTAAGCATAAGGCCCTGTCACTTGCAAATAAAGATAATTTGATTTCTTTTCCTGTTTGTACCCTTTTTCTGTCTTTTTGAGACAGGATCTCAGTGCACAGTTCAGGTTGGCCTTGAACTCACCTTGCAGCCCAAGCTGACACTGAACTCCAGGAGGTCCTTCTGTCTCAGCCTCCAGGGTGCTGGGTCTTTTTTCCTTTTCTGCATCTGGCATCATGGTTTCAGACCCTCTGGCGGTGTCTCCTCCACCCCTGGTTGGGTGCTTGGAACTGGCCAGCATCGCCTCCCCGGAGCCTGCCTCAGCGTCTCCTCTCTTCTCTGCAGCGGTCGGTGACATGGCCCGGCAGTACCTGGAGAAGGGCCTGCTGGTGCCTGACCACGTGATCACGCAGCTCATGGTGTCCGAGCTGGAGCTCCGGAGCGGCCAGCACTGGCTGCTGGACGGTGAGTGATGGGAGCCAGGCTCTGGAGGGGCTGGCCGGGGTCTCCTCGCCCTCCTCGGTCTGTGCAGATGAGATTCCCTGCATCCCCAATGCCGTTAGAGAGTGTTACGGTTCTACGACGTGGAAACTGTGTAGCCCAGGCTGGGCTCGAATCCACAGTCATCCTCCTGCCTCAGCCTCCCGAGTGCCTCATGCTGGGTCCTGGAGCTCATCTTAATGTTTAGGTTCTTTCTTATTCTCCAGGAGCTGCGCAGACCACAGCTGTGGGCCGTGGCTCTCACCTTGCAGTGACGGAAACTGGGATTGCTCAGGGCATGCGTCCAGGTGCTGCTGGGCACCCACTGCAGTGGCAGCAGGCCCTGCGCTGATGGGTTCTGGCCTGGGGTCAGTTGTGCAAGGAAGTGCACAGCACTAGGAATGGACACCAATGCAGGGTCCTCCGCGTGGGACACTGAGGGGAGCACGGTCTCATCCACAGGCAGGAGGGACGGGACAGCCGGACGGACAGATGGACGGATGGCTGGCTGGATGGCTGGGTGGACAGGTGGACAGATGGCTGGGTGGACGGATGTACGGATGGCTGGGTGGGTGGATGGATGGATAGCTGGGTGGACAGATGGACGGATGGCTGGGTGGATGGATGGACGGATGGCTGGGTGGATGGATGGACAGATGGCTGGGTGGGCGGATGGACAGATGGCTGGGTGGACAGATGGACGGATGGCTGGGTGGGTGGATGGACGGATGGCTGGGTGGGTGGATGGATGGATAGCTGGGTGGACAGGTGGACGGATGGCTGGGTGGGTGGATGGACGGATGGCTGGGTGGACGGATGGACGGATGGCTGGGTGGGTGGATGGACGGATGGCTGGGTGGACAGATGGACAGATGGCTGGGTGTACAGGTGGACAGATGGCTGGGTAGATGGATGGACGGATGGCTGGGTGGACAGGTGGACAGATGGATGGATGGCTGGGTGGGTGGATGGATGGATAGCTGGGTGGGTGGATGGACGGATAGCTGGGTGGCTGGATGTTCCCCAGAAGGATGAGGGGGCTGGGACTCTGGGGGCCCGGAACCAGAGGCGCGGGGCGGGACTCAGCCAAGCGCCTCCCAGCCTGTACCCCGAGGAGGAGCCAGGTGACCGGGTGTCGTGTGTGGGCGTCACGGCTAGGGCTGGTCTCGGAAAGACGGAAGCAGCTCTGTGGCAGTGGACTTGGGGTTCTCAGGCCTGCGTGGGACCACAGCAGAGCTGGAAGAGGCAGCATTTCCGGGAACAACCAGGTGGAGATGAGGCCGCTCTGTGTTAGGACCTGTAGCTCTCCTGGGTGCCAGGGCTTTGTGTGTCTTGGCTGTCACCACTGTTCTGGGCCTCTCAGCTAAGGCCATTTCACCATTGTGCATTCTTTTCTTTTCTTCTTTTTGAGACAGGGTCTTGCTCTATAGCCCAGGCTGGCCTTGGACACATAGGGATCCTCCTGCCTCAGCCTCCTGTTGAGTTTACAATGATTTCTTTACCTTAAATCTCTTCACTGTGAGGCTCCTGTCTTGTAATATGAATCCATGTTATCTTAGTGAACCTGACCGTGTGCGCCAAGGAAGACCTTGTTAAGTCTTTGGAGGCCTGGGCCCTGGCGCCTGGCTGGGGGTTGACTCCCAGCTCAGGCGTTCCTGGCTGAGGCCTTGTACAGTTTGCATGCCGCTCTGTGCCCGATTTCTCCCGGGGGTGGCTTAGAAGGAAGGTTTGTGCGTGATGTGGGCGCAGCTGGGCTCTGTCCCCAGTCGCAGGGCTGGAGTGGGCCGGGCGGTTGGTGGAGCTGTTCTGTCCGGAGCAGCCTCCCTGAGCTCGCTGTAGGCCCATCTGGTCCCTGCAGCTCCAGGCCCAACGTCCGTCTGGTGGTGTGAGCAAGCTGTCCCCGGCCCAGCGCCAGGCCTGCTGTCCTCGGCACCGAGCCCGGCATGGGCCCCACGCTCTCGTGACAGATGACGCTGCTGGGCCCACCGGTGTGTGGAGCCCGCGCGGTGCACCGTGTGGCTGGCTTGTCCTCACGGCAAAGCTCAGTGCTGGGTGTGCGTGTGCCGGAGGAGGGAGAGGGCCTTCCTCTTTTTCTACTTTTCCTTTTCTTCTGAGACAAGGTCTCACTTGTAACCCAGAGCCATCCTCCTGCCTCAGCCTCCTGGGTCCACCCACATTGCGAAGCCTCTTGCGGGAGAGGAAGAGCATTTAGGAGCAGCTGCCGGGCTGGGCCCGCTGGGTCTGCGTCTCTCTGTGAGCAGGGCCGGACCGTGCCAGACCCGGGTGCCTGGCAGGGCTGGGCCCGTGTGGCATCACCTCGGGGATGTAGGCCTCCTGACAACCCACAGTACGTTGTTTCAAGAATCAAATGGATAGGGCCGGGCATATAGCTCAGTGGCCCCATGCCTGCCTTGCAAGCACAAGGTCCTGAGTTCAAACTCTGATACTACGAACACACACACACACACACACACACACAAAATCCTCCACAACAAGAATGAAATAGATAAAGCCCAGTGTGGTGGTGCATGCCAGTAACCCCAACACTCAGGAGGCTGAGGCAGGAGGATCACTGAGTTTGAAGTCATCGTAGTGGGCTGGCTGCATAATGAGTTCAAGGCCAGGCTGAAGTACATAGTGAGACCTTGTCACAAACAAACAAACAAAAATTTGTTTCTGTAGCCAGGTAGCCATCAAAGTCTCCCGCAGAATGGCACATTCATGTTTTGATTTTTATTTGTTTATTGTTTGAGAGAGGATGTCACTGTGTAGCCCAGGCTGGCCTCAGCCTAAGAGTGGCTCTCCTGCCTCAGCCTCCTGAGCACTAGGATTCCAGGTGTGCCCCCCACGCCAGGCTTGCAGTTTGGTTTTAAAATAGCTTCCGCAATTTCAGTTATTTTAGAAGAAAGTTTGGTTAGACTTTCTGAGCAGTGATGAAGGGTAGGGTAATCTCCAGCAGACGCCCAGCTGAACAATGAATTCGAGAAAATGCGTGACTCACGGGGTGGGTGGACGACAGGGACAAAGAGGGAGCCCAGGCGACAGCTTGTAAAGAGGATGCCGCCGCTCGGAGAGACCCCTGCCTGGTGGGTGTGGAGAGACCGGAAGTCGTGATGAAGTTAACCTGAAGGACATCGTCTGCCAGGTTGGATGTCCAGGGTGGGCACAGCGGCCCAGTGTGCTGGGCCTGGGCCCAGCCCCAGAGCTGCATAAAGCAAGCTTTTATTTTCTTTTTTTATTTTTGAGAAAGGGTCTCACTATGCAGTTCAGTCCAGCCGTCCTTGAACTCACAGCGATCCTCCTGCCTCAGCCTCCTGAGCGCAGGGATGACAGACGTGCGCCACCAGGTGGGGCAGGAAATCGAGGCTCCTTTCAGTGGATGCTGCTGCAGCCCTCTTCGGCTGCAGGTGCTGAGTCCGCTCTTGCGCTCCCGGACCTGCGCCTCCCAGCCGGCCTCCCCTCACCTCGCCTCCGCAGCCTCCCTGCTGCTCTGGGTCCCTGGGTCCCCGCGGGGGTCAAGGACGCGCGTGTGCAGGGTCTGCCCGACCTGAGCCCGATGGGCACGGAGAGCAGGTGAGGGGCTGGGGTGCAGGGCACAGGTCCCGGGCAGCCCCGTGCGAGCAGGTGGCTCTGAGCCCACTTAGGCCGAGGGAACAGGATGGGAAACCAGCGGTGGGGATGTGGCCCAACTGGGCCTGAAAGTTCAACAGCTGAGTTCATATTAAAAGTAAGTGAGGGGAAAGTTAAAAATAAAATGTGCAACGTTTTTGTTTGTTTTTTGAGACCCTATCTCACTAACTCAGTGATGCTCCTGCCTCAGCCTCCTGAGTGCTGGGATTTCAAGTGCGCGCCACCAAGACCAGCAGAACAAAGTTTTAAACTTTCTCACATTTAAAAATCGACTTTAGACATTGATCTATACATTCATATCACACATGCCCAGGTGCCCTGAGCACCAGAGTCAGGCACAGGACAACTGTCCTTACCCTTGAAGTTCAGTGGTCAGGAGAATCTGCTTCTCTGACTTATGCAGTGGCTCTCAGGACTGGATGGATTAAAATTCAGGGCAAAGCTACATCCACGGTGTCTGAGGTGCAGATTGCCGGTTTAATAAGAAAGTATCAGGGCGTCACAGCGCACACCTGTAATTCCAGCACTCAGGAGGCTGAGGCAGGAGGATCGCCGCAAGTTGGAGGCCAGCCTGGGATCAATAACAAGAGCCTCTCTCAGAAAACAAGCAAACAAAAGAAAAAAAGCTCTTAATTTTCAAATTTAATAACAGCGGTGAAACTGAAATGAACCTCTTGCGGAGGGTGGGTATGGCCAGGAGAGTGCCCTGCTTGGCTTTTGTTATAATTATTACAGTTTTTCTAGATAGTACGGTTTTTTGTTTCATATAGAGAACTCTGTGCATGAATTCTCTTGCCTACCTGCACATTTCACTTTGATTAATCTCTCTTCTTGCTTTTTCTTGGGTTGTTGTTGCAGTTTGGGTTTTACTTGTTTTTGCCTTGCCCTCATTAGTCCTACGGGAGTGGTACAGGCACCTAACGCAGCTGAGCTCTGTGTCTTTGTCTCCCACCCTTCTCCCCTCCCTCCATCTGCTGGTGCTCTAATCTCTTGATTCGTCCCTAAATGTACTAGAAAGGATTGAATTGCACACTTTCTTTTTGTTACTAGGGATTGGATTCAAGGCCTTTGCACTGAGCTACACCCCCAGCCCTTCACTTTTTATTTTTATTTTGAGACAGGGTGTCACTAAATTGCTAAGTAACCCAAGCTAGGTTTAGGCTTGAGATCCCCCTGCCTCAGCTTCCCAGAGTGCTGGGATTCCAGGCACCCAGGCATTGTGTACTTACACACCATGGCACAGAGTGCACACTGTGTCTGGTGATGTGTGTGGTTGTTTAGCACAACTTCTTAGTTGGATTTTGTTGCTGGTTTCCCTCCCCACTCAGTGCAGGAGGAAAGGCCCAGGAGGGCTGTGGCCAGGACTTCCTGTCTCCAGGATGGGGCTTAGACGGTGCCGGGGGCCTGGAGTGGGCCCCGTGCCTGAGGCACATTGTGGTCTTTGCTGCTTGTCCTGACCAGGCTTCGAGTTCGAAGGCTATGGCTGGTGTCACACTCTTTGTTGAAGACATTTCCCTCCCTGTGTAGACTTTATGAAGAATTATTTTTTTTATGCTTGAAGTAAATTGACTACTTTCATGTTTGCTTTTTTGTTATTTTTGAGACAGTCTCCCAGTGTGGCCAGGAACTCACTGTATAGCCCGGGCTGGCTGCAAACTCAGGGAGATCCTCCTACCTCAGCCTCCCGAGTGCTGGGATTGCAGGCATGTGCCACCACGCCTGGCTCAAAACATCACACGCTATTCTTTTTCCTCCAGTACAAGGGACCAAACCCGGGGCTGCACTCATGCACCGAGCCATAGCCCTGCCCAGCATTTCTGTGTGAAGAATGCCAGCTGTGCTGGGTAGCAGTGTGACTTCCAGAGCTTTCCCACCTTTGTGCTCTCCAGTCCTTCTGGGATGCTCAGCCTGCAGTCTGGCGGCGGGGAGGGGCTCTGTGCTCCAGGCAGCCCCGCCAACTCCCGTCCACCCGCATGGGCGGCTGGTCACCACCCATCCCTGACCCGGCCTCGTGCCTCTGCCTGTCCTCTGTGTGCTGGGTACCTGGCCCTCCCTCCACACACAGTGCAGATGCGACCTGTGTGTGTCCCCCCTAGGGACGGGTCTCCCTGTGCTGTCACCTTGTGGAAGGAAGAGGCGGGGCAGAGGCTGGAGGGGGACCCCACAGCCTGGGTGCTGTGGCCCTGGGGTGTGTGGTGACGCTAGCCTTTCCTCTGTGCTCTCAGCTGGGAAAACCTCGCTGCTCTGCTGAGGGGAGCTGGCCACCAAGATCTCCTGGCCCCCTGCTGGATAAGAATTCACCTTTCATCTTGCAAAGCCATTTTTGTTGTTTTTTGAGCCAGGGTCTCGGTATGTAGTTCAGACTAGCCTTGAATTTATAGCAACCCTCCTGCCTCAGCCTCCCAAGTGCTGGGATTACAGGCCACACAGGCTTAACCTGTGGTTTTAAAACCAGTATTTTGGAGTCCCAGAGTCCTATCAGTTGAGGAATGTGACGATTTTAGCAATCTAGGCTTTTAAAGTCCCATATCTCTAAGGGGACCCCAATTCCAGGCCCCTGTGCATACTGAAGCCTTGAGCAGAGGGGGACCTGGCACAGCGGGAATGCGCAGCCTGGGTCTGCAGCTGCGCAGCTGTTTCTGCCCCCAGCTGTCTCTGTACAAATAGGTTAGAGAGGTGGAGGGAGCTGCAGAGGGAGCCTTGGCCGGGGTTCACGAAGCCTGGTGTGTGGACCACAGGCCCTGGGCCGACTTCCTCTTCAGTGACCGGCTGGCTGGCTGCGGCCTCCATCCCGGTATGGTCGCCTTGGTCTCCTTCCAGCCGTGCAGAGGGCAGGTCACCGGGCCCGGAGAAGGGCTGCTCCAGGGTGGCGGAGGGGGCTCCAAAGCAGCACGCCAGGCCTCCCTTGTCCTTCTGTTGCCTCCCGATCTCGGCCCTTGTGGCCACACCAATGTCTCAGTGGCTCCTGCAAGCAGAGAAGCATGTGCCAAGGCCCAGGGGCCAGCGTTGCCCGGCACACAACCGCGATACGGGACTTCACGGGGGAGCTTCTGGGGTCCAAGCCAGAGCCCCCAGCGCTACCTCTCGGATGCGGCAGGGCAGCAGAGTGGGGAGCTTAGCTTCGCAGCTTGCTTTGTGCTTTCGCGTGACTCACACTCACAGCGGGGACAGCATGGTTTAGGGGGAGAGAGGCGGAGTATCTTGTGAGGAAGGCGAGGTAGGGTTTATTTGCAGTACTGGGGCTTTAACCAAGGGCCTCCGCACTGGGCTACATTTCCAGCCCATTTTTATTATTTTGTTTTGAGACGGAGTCTTGCTAAATTGCCCAGGCTGGGCTTGAATTTGGGATCCTCCTGCCCCAGCCTCCCGGAGAAGTGGGATGCACCACCCACTAGTCCTAACGTTCTGTGTTCCTGATGAGCCACAGAAAGAAGCTTCGATTTGTAAAGAGACCTCGGATTGTAAAGCGATCTTCGCTGCCCTCGGGCCCTGTTTCTCCTCTTTTCACCCTGCGGCCCTGAGGGAGAAGGCCTGTCCCCTGCCGGCTGCTCACGGGGTGCACAAGGCCCAGACCCTCCTGGGGGCGCCCAGGGGCGGGGTCAGGAGCAGCTGCCCACATCCGTCTGCGCGTGCGCGTGTCTGGGGTGTGAGTCCCGGCCCCTCTCCCAGTTCATACTGAGTTCAGTGCTGACCCAGGACTGCTTTGCTGGCCTGCGCTGAGGCCCGAACCTTTAGAAATGCCTGGCTTGTTTCTTTGTTTTTTGTGGCTCTGAGTATCTGACACAGGGACCTTTACTCCTGAGCTACACTGCAACCCCGAAAAGAACGGCCAGGACCCCTTGCTGGTGGACTGGATCCCGGCCCTTTAATCTGGAGAGACGCATTTTATTTCAAGACAGGGTCTTGCTCAGTGGTTACATTGCCCGGTCAGAGCTAGTGCTTGCAGTCCTCCTGCCTCAGCCTCCCAGAGTTCCAGAACACTGTGCAGTCGGCCACAGGGTCACCTCCGAGGTTCCGTGTGCGCCTGTGGGACTTTCTTTCCCCATCAGTGTGTGGGGAACCATCTGGGTGGAGATCACCGCAAGAAAGAGTCCCGGACGGACCGAGTCAGGGCTCTGGGCGAGGCACCGAGCCTCGCGGAGCGGACTTTTCCCTTCGCAGCGCAGAGCTGTGCTCTGGGGCCCTCGCGGGACCTTCCCGGTGTCCTCGCCCAGCGGCTGGCGGCTCTTAGGTCCAGGCAGGGTCCTGCATGTGACGCGTCTGTTTGGGGCCCAGGTTTCCCAAGGACGCTGGGGCAGGCCGAGGCCCTGGACAGGCTCTGCGACCTGGACCTGGTGATCAGCCTCAACGTCCCTTTCGAGACCCTGAAGGACCGGCTCAGCCGCCGCTGGGTCCACCCGCCCAGCGGCCGCGTCTACAACCTAGACTTCAAGCCGCCCAACGTCCCGGTGAGCCGTGCGGACGCGGAAGCCCAAATTTGGGAGTGATGGGAGGGGACCAGAAAAACAGGACGGCACACGTTCGCAACGTCACATCTGTTGCTGATGGGGAATTGGGAAAATGCGGCTCTGCTTTTGCGAGCCCCATGGCACAGCGCACCGGAAAAGGCCTCAAGGCTTTGGGCCCAGCGTGGTTGTGCTCACGTGTAATCCAGCAGGAAGACTGCAGCGAGTTCAAGGCCAGCCCGAACCACATGATAGGTCCAATTTCGAAAACAAAACAAATCAAAACCAAAGCAGACATTTTGTAATTGTTTTCCTGGATGCTTCATTCAGGAGTTGTAGAGATGGGATTGCAGTGTGGCCCAGGTCTTGAGCCCTGAGGGATCATCCTGCTTCAGCCAGGCTCAGAGGTTCTTAAAAAATTTGGGGAGCTTTACTGCAAGACATTTCCAAAGCCCAGTTTCCCCAGAAAGACACCTGCAGCCTGGGGGCTGCCCGAGGGGACAGGAGGCCATGGGCCATGCACCCCAGGCAGGGGCACAGCGGGCCCAGTGCCCACCTCTGCCCCTTCTGGAAGCCGAGCCCCTTAAAGTGCCTTCAAGCACGTGGCTAGAAGGCAGGCCAAGCAGAGAGGTGCATAGGTCCCAGGGGCCTTCTGCATTTGAGACATCCTGGATGTATGGGGGCTCTCGAGTGCACTTCAGATTTGAGGCCACACTCTGGTGACCCCTGTGGCTGTATTTTCTCCTACGTTAGTAATTTTCCTTACCGAAACAAATTCTTTAAGACATTATATTTTCTATTTTAAGAACTCACATTTTATTTATGTGTTTATAATTTTTGTTGTTTTGAAGCAGAGTCTTGCTATGTAGTTCAAGCTGGCCTTGAGCTCACTATGTAGTCCAGGCTGGCCTCAAACTCACAGAAATTCTCCTGCCTCAGCCTCCCCCATGCTATGAAGTCAGGGTTTGGAAAGGAAGGCAGTTTCGGGCCTGTTTGGGGGCCATCGTGACATCGTACATAGGTTTGCTGTTGGGGAGGTTTCAGGAAGTTCAGTGGATTTAAAGTGCAGTTCACCAGCAGCACTGGCGCCTGGAGAGCCTGACGGTGGAGATCCAGGTCAGGGGGATGGGGTCGTCTCTAGGGAGGTCATTGTCCCCACCCTCCTTGCCCTTCTCACCCATGGGGCAGGAGGCAGAGGGCTGGCAGGAAAGGCCTGGCGTGGCGTGGCCCGGCCGCTGGCCACGTCCACTGTCTGTGGCATTGCAGGGCGTGGACGACATCACAGGGGAGCCGCTGGTGCAGCAGGAGCATGACAAGCCCGAGGCAGTGGCTGCCCGGCTGCGGCGCTACAAGGACGCAGCCAAGCCAGTCATGGAGCTGTACCGGTGAGCGCGGGCGGAGGAGGGCGTGGGCAGTACGGGCGGGACTCAGCCCCCTGGGGTGGGGCTCGGCCAGGTCAAGACCAAGAGAGCTGGACCCCAAGTGCTGCTCCGCGGGTGAAGCTGCCTCTGGATTTGCTTCCCCCCGCCATCCCCACTTTTCTCCTCTTCCCCTGCTCTCTGTCTCTTTTGGCAGTGTGGGGTTTGAACCCGGGCCCTTGTGGAAGCCCCTCAGGCTCCTAACCCCGACCTGCCCCAGCCCTCTTCTTGTCCTTTCTAAGCAGCTGAGCTGAAGTCCCTGCTCTGTGTGATGTGGGGAGGGCCAAGGCTGGGTGTCCCCAGGGAATCTGGAGGCATCCACAGCGCCAGGAGTGGGGCAGGGCTCAGGTGGGCTCCTTGAAGCCCAGGCTTGCACGCTGCCTGGCCAGTGTCCTAGTGCTCTAGGCTCATGGAGTTGGTGAGCAGCGGACAGAGGACTCCTGTCTTCCAGGACAGACAGAAATCTGACTTTCTCTGTGGGGAAAAAGCCCTCAATTTTTACATCCCACAAGTAAAACATTTTAAGCAACATGCAGCAGGCAGAGCCACTCGGACGCCGTTGAGCACAGGGCAGCCGGGGTCACTGAGGGTTTGAGCCGAGTCCCAGGTCCCCATCCTGAGACCATCTGGGCCCCACGAGTGGTTGCTCCCGGGGGAGGGCAGTGGTTCACCTTGGGAAGGGCTTTGAGGCAGGTGCGGGGTCCCTGCCCGTCACCCTCTCCAAGGGAACATGGGCTGGCACTGTGTCATGTGCTCTCCTCGGGGCGCTTTGGGGCGCCTGGTGGCCCGTGACAGTGGCCCCAGCCGTGCCTGGCCTTGGCCCGATCCTCCTGTCCCAGCTCCCAGGGGAGGGACCTAAGATGCCCGTGCCTGTCACTTGTCTTTCAGGAGCCGCGGGGTGCTGCACCAGTTTTCGGGGACGGAGACGAACAAGATCTGGCCTTACGTTTACGCCCTTTTCTCCAACAAGCTGGCGCCTCTCCAGTCCAAAGAGGCCAACTGAGGTCGGGGCTGCCGACCTGCATCTTCCGGGCTGCCTCAGCAGCTGGCCGGGACCAAACGGGGAGACCCGAAGGGAGAACCAGCAAGTGTGAGAGCCCAACGGAGGCCTCCTGACCCGGCCCTGCCCCTGCCATCCACCCTGTGCCCCTGTGACGTGGAAGCCGGCCGCTGTCGCCACAGGGTTCCTGAGCAGCAGCTGCTCCCTGCTCTGGCTTGGGGGACCCCTCTTAGACCCTGGGCCGAGGGATGGGCTTCCACTGGCCGAAGGCTTTCCGTCTGTTCCCTCATCCTGCCTCGGGGTCCGCTGGGGGCCGTGTCACACTGGCACTTCCTGTCTTTGTCCCCTCTTCCTGGAACCCAGGGCAGGGACCCCGTGGGTCTCTGAGCCCCGGAGGCTGAGCTTGCGGTGCCCTCGTCTCCACCACTGCCCGACTCTCCCGCTTGCTCTTCTCCTTCTATTGTGAGAACATTAGACCTGCAGAGTCTTTGAGAGTTTTCAGAAACACGGAAGACCCGTACAGAAATGTCACGAGGTCATCGCGTCCATGGGCAGAAGTACTCGGACCCTGTGGGGTCAGGGATGAGTGGGACAGTCGAGCTCTTCACTGCAGCCGGCAGAATGGATTCTGATGGCGCTGCTAACGTGTGTCTTCTCTGGGGCGACTCCAGCAGGTCACCGGGCGGGGCTCGGGGCGCTGCAGCCTTGGGTGGAAGATCGCAGTCGTTAGGCTGACGACGACAGTATTGCCAGGATGTGGAGACAGAGTCTTTTGCTTTTCTCCTGTGTTCCAAAGATGCAGTCTGTGGGTGGCTGCGAGTTCTAGAAGCACAGGTAGTAACACCTTGCCATCCAGCCAGCCGCTTGTTAAAGGTGTTCCTGGTCCCGGCTACCTTTCCGCCCTCTCCTCTGGGAAGAAGCGTGAAGTGACTCCCGCTGCCTTACCCGTCCCCAGGGCGTCCTTCACTGTTCCCGGGAGTGACTTCCATTTGTCCCGGGGCACCAGGGAGCGAGCAGGAAGCCTGTGTCTGCCCGCGGTGATCTTGATCTGTCTGCGGCGCCCGGTGCCCGGACCCCTGCCATGCGCACTCTGGACGCCGGCGCCGCCACCGTCCACCCCTCCCGCTGCCTGCCTGGCCAGTGCTGTGCCCGTGTCCCTCTCGCGAATGGTCCTCAGCACACGTAGCTGAACTCAGGGTTTCTGCGGAACCAGGTAGAGAGCAACTCGGAGTGGCACTGCCATGGAGACGGCTTCCCCGACGAGAGAAGGCGGAGTTAAAGCTATTGAGAGGACAGTGTGTGCCCTGGGGGAGCAGAAACACCTTCCCCTGCCTTATAACGGAACGATTGCCTCTGGGGCTTGGGGCAGTGAGAGGGGAGACGGCCGGACCGGACCGAGTGCTTCCCAACCCCTCCTTCCTCCCTTCCACAGGAACTGGGCTGGGGCCACTTCCGGTCAGGCGGAAAGTTTCGGCTGCATCCGCTGGGGCCGAGACCCTGGCACAGGGCCTCCCCTAGGCCGAGCCCCGGGCTTTGAGGAGGTGATGGTCACGTTCAGTGGCCTAAGAAAAAGAGTGTTTCTGGTTCTTCTCTGTAAACTCACTAGCGTTCTCCTAGGGTGAGCGGGGTTCGTGGGACTGTTTGGACAGCAGTAAGGCTGCGGGGCCTCTTTCCTTTCCCTTCAGTGCCCCCACTCAGTTCTTCACATCCCAGCGCGGAGGCTCCCCGATGGGGCTCCCCGAGTCCTGCCCCCCGCGCCCTGGGCCCTGAGCTGCTCGCTCCCGCCTGGGGCTGCATCCCAGGCTGGCAGAGGCCAGCGCAGAGGAGCCCGTTCCTCTCCCTCGGCCTTGCGCAGAGGAAGCTGCTGGAGCAGGCTGAGCTCTCACCCCAGCCCCAGTCCTCCGTCCGGTGTGTGCCGAGCAGGCCCCTGATGTCCTCGCCGAGCCGTCCCGGCTCCTGCTCCTGGGCCTGGGCACCTCGAAGCTGCCCGACAGCCGCTTTCCCTCCTTGAGGTCAGAAAGAGCCCCTGCCCGGCCCCCCGTCCTGCCCCGATGCCGGGG